GAACTTCCCATTCTTGGTCCAGCAAGACAGGCCTTAAGCTAATAACACACGTATTGGCCTTTGTTCTATAAAGTTCCTGTACACTAGTTCCCAAGCTTCTGCAGGGGGTGGATCTTCTTGGCTCTTGTCCCTGCAGAAATAACAGTAGGGCTGTTCTTTAACAAAACATTTGAAATAAATACCGACACACACACAAAAAATAAAATTAAAAATTAAAAAAAAAAAAAGAAATGCCCGTCAAGAACTAATGTTTATTAGTGTCAATAAGCACCTGACCACATGTCTTCTCGCCGGACCTACTATGGTTGCTAGGGCCCTTACGCCAGGAAAGATCTTTGATCATAGGACACCTGGGAGGTTTAGAGGTCAGTTCTGACCACCGAGTTTCAACAAAATCCCACCTCTGCCCACCTAAACCCCGTCTGTAAACTGATTGGAGGACGCTAGTACTCTGTGTCAAGTTTCCCCTGTCTGTAAAAATGAATGGTTAAACAGTACAGTGCTGGCCTCAGGGGGGCTATTTGGAGGATTACAACAAATGCCAAAGATATATCGTGCAAGCCCACCCAGCAATAAGCCCGCTGATCTTGGTGTCCAGCACCCCTGTGAGTGTGCAACTGTTCTAAGCGTCCCTCATTTTACACAACTAAGGAAAAAGACATCAGACCAGGTTAAGTAAACCCGGCTCGAAGCCTCACTTATAATTGCCTTCCCTCTTGTGCCACGATCCCACATTTCTTACCAGCCAGGATCCACGCCAGAGGAATAATACAGCCTTTCAACTCGGATTTGAAGATCCCAGAATTTCTCCCCCCATTCCCTACATTGGGGGTAATTCTAACACCCTATGGGCAAATTGTGCGTGCTGGTAAATAAGACAGTCATGGTAATGTGGAAAGCTATGACACCAGTGTGATGAAAAAAGTTAAAGTTCTGGACCAGGGTGCGGTGGGCTCACACCCTGTAATCCCAGCACTTTGCGGGGAGGCCGAGGCCAGGAGGGGAATCACTTTTGAGGCCAGGAGTTCAAGACCAAGCCCTGGCCAACATGGTTGAAACCCCATCTCTAACCTAAAAAAAAAAAAAAAAAAAAAAAAAATTAAAAAAAAATTACGCCGGGGGCCGGGCGCGGTGGGCTCAAGCTGGTAATGCCCAGCACTTTGGGAGGCCGAGACGGGCAGGATCACCATAAAGGTCCAGGAGATCGAGACCATCTGGCTAACCAGTGAAACCCCCCGTCTCTTAACTCAAAATACAAAAAAATAAGCCGGGCCGAGGTGGCGGCGGCAGCTGGGTAGTCAGCCAGCTTACTCCCGGGAAGGCTGAGGCCAGGAGAATGGGGCTGAACCCAGGAGGCGGAGGCTTGCAGTGAGCTGAGATCGGCCACTTGCACTCGCCCAAAACCTGGGCTGCAAGAAGCGACGACTTCGCCTCAAAAAGAAAAAAAAAAAAAAAAAAAAAAAGAAAAAAAAAAAAAAAAAAACAAAAAAAAAAAAAAAAATTGAAAAAATTAGTCCCGGGGTGGTCGGTGGTGGGACGTCTGTCTCCAGCCTTACGCAGAAAGCGAGGCAGGGAGAAACTGCTGTGAGCCCCGGAGGACGACCGGAGGCAGAGCTTGCAATGAGCAGAGATCGTGCCACTGCACTCCACCTGGGCGACAGAGCGAGACTCCGTCTCAAAAAAAAGAAAAGAAAAAGTTCTGGAGCTGTATAATGGTGACGGTTGCACAACATCGTGAAATGTACGTAGTGCCACTGAACTGTGTGCTTTAAATGACTTAAATGGTAAATTTAGTTTTTTAACCACAATATTTACCACAATTTTTTAAATCAGTCATGTTGAGATTGAGGGAAATACGGTAATAATAGAAGAAATATAGTAATAAATAGCCAAAGTGAAGGAACACGGCCAAGTTGCAGACCATCCCGGATGCCCTTACCCTCCTCGCCTGCCCTGACCCCAACTAGTGCCCCAGTTCCCCCTCCCCCCACACCCCACCATCCACCAGGGCTCCAGGGCCCCACGTGCAATTGCACGCCCAGGTGCCCGGGCTCCCGGAGCCCCTCACTATCTAGCCCAGGAACGCCCTGGGTCTAACACCTTCTCTTCGCTTCTCTGCAGGGGACATCATCGTGCAGGCGCCCACCCAGGTGCCCGGCTTCTTGGGCGACTCCGTGACGCTGCCCTGCTACCTACAGGTGCCCGGCATGGAGGTGACGCATGTGTCACAGCTGACTTGGTCGCGGCATGGTGAATCCGGCAGCATGGCCGTCTTCCACCAAACGCAGGGCCCCAACTATTCGGAGCCCAAACGGCTGGAATTCGTGGCCGCCAGACTGGGCACAGAGCTGCGGGATGCCTCACTGAGGATGTTCGGGTTGCGCGTCGAGGATGAAGGCAACTACACCTGCCTGTTCGTCACGTTCCCACAGGGCAGCAGGAGCGTGGATATCTGGCTCCGAGTGCTTGGTGAGCAGGGGCTTTGGGGAGGCTGAATGAAAGGTGGAGACTTGGTGGGAGGATCAGGGAAGTCAGCAAAGAGTGGGGAGGCCTGGGAGGGAGGGGGATTCCCTCCACAGCAGATTCCCTGGGGACAAAAGGAGGGGCAGCGCAATGATGGGGGTGGAGTAGGGGGAGGCACATACATGGGGGGAGAGGCTGCAGGGCAGGAAGGGAGCAGAGATCTCCTGGAGTAAGGACCCCAAAGCCTCGGGTTAGAAGGCCCTTAGGGAGAGGGAGGTGTGTATTGGAAAGGGAGCTGGGAGGGGACCCAAAAGGAAGGGAGGAGGCCTGGGTGGCCTCTTCTGGGCCCCTCCTTTCCTCATCTGTAAAAGGGTTGGTGACAATAGTATCACCCTTGGAAAGCTGTCCTGTGTGTCCCGGTGCAGCCTTAGAGCTTCACCGCTGGCCCATGTGAGCCCCTTAGAGCTGTCAGTTACTGTTACTTTCTTTGGTGAAAAAGGAGAAAGTTGAAACAGACAGACAAGAAAGCAAGGATCCTGATACCCAAAAGAGGAGGGGATCTGCTTTCATTTTCATGAGCTCCATGAGGCCCTCCTCTTGGAACTTGAGCAAGAAGTCTCTGTGCCTCAGTTTCCTCATCTGTGGGATGGGGATCACCATGAGGATTCAAAAAATGGACGCCTGTTTTTTTTTTGAGCAGAGGTTTAGCTCTGTCGGCCCCAGGCTGGAAGTGGCAGTGGTGTGGGTCACAGCAGGTCCTCACTGCAGTCCTGGAACTCCTGCGCTACAAGGGATGTATCACTGCGAGTCCGCGCTAGCTGGCAAGTGGAATTACAGGAATGTGGCCACCATCGCCAACTTGTTTTTGTTGTTTTGGTTGTTTTTATATAAGCTATGTGCGCTAAGAACTCGGATTCCAGGCCTGTGCATGAGAAACTCATGAAATGTCAAGGGCTTGGAAACTGTGACCTGGCACAACAACACACCGACCACAGGGCAGTCTGTCAGCTCAGCAAGCCTGGGATTCACAGGTTATCCATGGTTTAGGGATGAGTAAAAACAGAAAACAGCAAGTCAAGTTAAGGAGAAATCTTCGGTAAATAATATCATGTATGATATATTATTGTGTAAGTCTCTATTTTTGTCTTATTGTTTGGAATACCAACCAAGGTGATTGATTAGAATGGTCAACGTGGTTTTGGAGTTGGAGTTTTGTGTAATGTGGTGAACAGCGTGTCACCGTGGGCAATGTCACTTCCCTTCTCAGACTTCAGGGCTCAGGCTTCTCTTCCCCACTGAGCCCCAGATGAAGTCCAAAACTCTCTCCTTGGGTTTCCCTTCCCAGCCTGCCCTCCCGAGTCATCACGCCTAGGAAAGATCTGTTCTGCTCCCCTTGGCGTTACCCATGAGTGCAAACCAGGGCGTTATTTTGGCACTGCTGGCCCCAGCACTTTTCCAGCAAACAGCTATTTTTATGGAGGCACGTACTCATGTGCCATCTTGAGAGCTTCACCTGCATATTCTTTTTGTATTTGTATGTTGCCATCATTACCCTTACAAGAGAAATGAGCACAACTGCCCAACCACCCAGCTGCTCATGGACACGAGCATGGGTTT